TATAATTCTTTCAATAAGAGAGAGAAAGGAAAGATATTCCCCCCGTAAAACGTGGAATGGGCGATATTCTGACGCAGCGAGGGAATAATTTGATTTAACCACTGTTCATCCTACTTTCTCGCAACATGGCGCAATCATTAGTTTATTCCTTCTTTCTTCCCACGCAGATGCGAATTTTTTTTCACAGCATATCTTCTCACTCGAGTTTAAAATCCGTTAAATCAAACTGTAACCGCGTTTAATCAAACGATTTGTCGGACGAATAGAGTGCATTAGACAGATAATTATTGCAAGACAAAAATACATAAAGAGAAATTAGAATACAAAGTGTATTTTTTTTAATTCCACATCGAAGAGAGCGTGCGATCAACAGAAATATATCCATTCCATGGAGATCCAAGTAAAACAATAGCATCGCAGAAGGGAGCTGGAACGATTAAGTGGTAGGATGGTACGGTATATATTCCCGGGGATGCTCGAGGATACGAGGTAACTGGTCACAGGACGAAAACGTTCAACTAGGAGGAAGGTCCTTGTGATGATTAAGGCCTGTTAAATCGAGGGATGCGCGAATAGGGTTTGGGGGAGGAGGGGGCCTCCCTCGAAGATATGAGGGATCCGCCGGGAACATTCCAAGGACTCTCTATATAGCGGAGGAGAACGAGCCAAGGGCGGACTTAGAAGAGCAAAATCTCGAGCCGCGTCCTTGTTAAACGAGAATGTTCGAGGTATGGCCATTGGGATCTACTCGTTCAAAATATACGTATACGTTTCGCCAAATATCTTGCCTTCCATTTCTTTCCCTCGGTAGAGATGGCGAAATCGAGAAACTTCTCTAATATCTTTCCTTTTTCTTCGAAAATTTATCATTCAGTTAACTAAATAATTGAAATAATTGAAATGTATTATTTTTAAGAATATCCAAGCTTTATCCAAAATTAATAAAGATATTATTTAAAACATTTCCATCGAACCAAGGAACCTTTTTCGTTTAATAAAGGTTAATATTAAACGTGAATCTTTGACGAGGAATTTAGACAAGTTTGCGCGATAAAAACAAATGGGGCGAGGGTAAAATTTTAATACATAAGTTGAATTCGGATTCGACGAGAGGGGCCGGCCAAACGATTCACGAAGCGTTTCTCTCTCCTCCACGAGGGCTAATAAATCTAGAATCGTCCTAATGAAACGGCAAACCGCGCGTCTCCCCACCCTCGGTCGCTCAATGGTTCAAACGCGATGAAATCTCGTAACGTCGGTGTCAAGATTTGCATAATTCGCGGTGATAATTAAGCGATCTGCATATTACCGTCCCCGCGCCACGTCAGCCTCTCTTTTAAGGGCAAATAGTCCCTGCCACGGGTCCTAAACTTCTCCTCCCCGCTCCTCTTCCGTGCCCACAATTTCTCCTCCTGGTATTCCCGCTATTGGATTAAAGCGTTGTAACGAGCAATATATTCGCGTCTCTCCTCCTTCCCCTCCCGCGCATTTCGCACACGTGTCGAATTTCTGCCTTTCTATCGGGGGAAGTACGCGTCTTTTTTTTTTTTTTTTTTTTTTGTAATTGTTGGATCGACGAAACAATTGCCGGATACATAGGAAAATAGAGGGTGTATATGGACTTTCCGGGTCTCTCCTCCTATATCGATGGATTCGTTTCTTTTGTGAGTCGCGACGCGTGAACTTTGAATGAAGCTTTTCTTTTTTTGCGATTTTTGTGACGACTGTTTGCAATTGTCTTGATAGAATTAGTCGTTTGTTGAAAGGAGGAGATTGTTGGGAGAAAAATTTACAATAAGAATATGAAAATTAAGTATCAGGATCGATCAATTAATGTCTTTTTTATATATATATATATATATA